GATGAGAGCTGGGACGGTCTTCTACTATTCTTCACATAATCAACTAATCAAGTAAGCTATTTAGATTCACCATGCATATTCCATTACGCAATGTTTAGGGAAAATTGAAGTGCAATAGGCTCATGGTGTTTAATCTTCAAAGGAGACTAACAGGATCCACAAATAAGTAAATGCTTATCTAAGAGTAGAGGGGAAGATAAAAACCTTCGAGAGCAAGATTAACTGTCTGGCAGGCTGCACATTGAACCACTTTAGAACCTCGAGGATATGAAAGCAACTGTCGGCAAGTACCGCACACCAATTGGCCAACCTCTTTATGAAATAACTATAAAAATGAATACTTGAAATGCAAAAAAAAAAAAAAACCTGCACCAACACTCACATGAAAATTAAATACAAATCTCACCAGAAGACATTTGCACTACAGATGGTGGGAGCTGAGAAAAAAATCGTTGCATAGATCCCCTCTCCGTGCAAAGTTTTTTATTCTCATTGTTTTTGTTTTGTTGTTTGCTATCCATTTCAATATCTGCTACACCAAATTCCTAGCCATTATATTATACAATAAGGTATACATAAAAAATGATAACATAGCTTCAAGCCTCCAATACTTTAAGATACAGAAATCTGTAAAATAGTACTGAACTGATATTTTAAAGATTCTACAAGGGCCTACAAGCTTTTAGAAAGCGATTAGCCGATTAGGAACATTAGCATAATATGAAAAAGGGGGTGACATATGTTATGACTATCGGGAAAAAGATATTCAATGAAGATGAAGAAAATCATGATGTACTCCCTCCATCCCGAGGAATGTCCTGATTAAATAGAGTGCAACTTTTTATTTTTGTCACTCAATCAAAGTATGTGAACAAGCTTTAACAAGATATGAATGGTCACTTAAACATCCCTATAACTTATTAAAAGATTGCTTGGAGTAATTTAATAACCGCTTCCCACTTGGATTTACAAGAACCAGACTTAAAAAGTAAAGCTGACTCTCAAAACATCACTCATGAAGTTCTTGAAACATATTTTCTGGGGAGGATCATGTTATTATAATGAATAAGAGCTGAAGCTTATCTCATTCCAACACAAGAACGTCCATTGATCAATGCAGGAGCCGAACTTACCAGAAGAAGCTATGGATGAGGATGAGCGAAGTGGTGGTGTAGGTGTTGATGTGTGTTCAGGCATAGAAGAAGGCCAGTCTGAACTTGAAATGTGACGTTCAGTTTCCCATTTCTTTCCTTCATTACTCCTCTTTTCAATATCTATGATGGCCAGAAAATAGCTTGTGTGAGACTTCTTATAAGGCAGTAAAAGATTCAACAGGATTTTTTTTGTTCAAAGCTTTTCAAGTAATAACATACTTAAATTGCATATGATTGAACTAACAGACCAGTTGGCAGGCAGTACTAATAATTAATAGATGAATTTGTGTCAACCTCCCTGAGTAATAATATTAAGTTCCACAAGACTTGAAGAAGTTCTTTCGCAGACCATTCATTACATGCAAACATAACTGGAATACATATTAGATTTATTACCCAGTACTTAAAATGTTGCTAACCACCAGCCCTATGCCACAATGTCTAATCTTTATAATAATAATCAAAAGGTCCAACTAAGACACTACAATCTTAAAGTATAATCTAATCTGTTTCTCCTTTCTATTTTTGCACTCACAATAAACCCAACTTATTATTTTGGAGTATCTATCTGCCCCAACATAATAAAAATTCTCCCACTTTGACATAAACTAGAATAGAGACAACATATTCAACTCCGAACCATGCCACCAACGAATACCTAGGTCCCCATTTTCAAATTTTAGTTAATGCTGGGTTGCTGATACAACAACATCCAAGCCTTAGTCCCAAAAGAGTTTGGGATCGGCTAACATGTAGTAACATCAATTGACTTATGAAATCGGAGCTCAAAATATAAACAAAGATAAAAAGATAAGATATGATAAGATAAAAAAAAGATGAAAAAGATAAGATAAAAGAGATAAAGAACATAATAAAGATAAAAGAATGAAATGAGATATCAAAGATATTTATCATGTGCAAATAAGGGTGCTCACAGCTTGTGAGCAGATGTATAAATAAATAAGGAGAAACCAGGTAATAATCTATGCAGTTTAAAGCATATTGAATCTGAAGCTGTGGTTTGTGTGACCATGGAGTAAAAAAATCACGAAAATAAGGTTTTATAACAATGCTCACCAGATGGAGCCAGTGACTGTGGTAGTAATGGTGGTTTCTGCTGAGAGGAGATCAGATTCCACCCAGGTGGTGGGCCATCATCATGCTCACCAGATGCAGCCAGTGATGGTGGCAGTAATGGTGGTTTCTGCTGAGAGGAGATCAAATCCCACCCAGGTGGTGGGCCATCATCATCTTCTACTGTGATATCTGTTTTTATATCTAAGCACAAAGTAGGTCTTGACTGAATATATCACTATTATATTATAACCATAAGTTTTGTGAACTTTGTATAGAAGCCAACATTGACTTTGGTGGAAGGGGAAACGGGCCTGAAATTAGAGATTGGGGAAACTTACTAGAAGATGGAGCTGATTGGGGCAATGGCAGTGGTATAGATTCTGGCGGTGGCTGTTGTTGGGTGTTCAATTGCCACCCGGGTGGGGGGCCATCATCATCATCTTCTTGATCATTTCCCATTTGTATATCTAAATTCAAGTTGTCAATTGTTATAATAAGTCAAGGACACCGCAACTCAAACTAATATCCATAAATTGTATTATTGCGTATTTAGGAAAGAATATATTTGCAAAGGGATGTTATTGTATAATTTTAGGATGTTTTTACTTAGAATGTTTTCAATCCCAGACTAGATCAAATCAGACCAGACTTGGATAGTTATATAAAAAACACAGACTTGGATAGTTATATAAAAAACACAGAGATCAAACGTTTATCAGATAGACCAGACTAGTTCAAACCAAACAAAAACAGATCAGACCAAAAAAATTCAGTCCAAGTAAAAAGATCCTTAATAAATGATCTAACTGCACTTCTCATTGTGTAATTGACCACTATTAGTCATCACTGGCAAAAAAAACTGGTATGTTGAGTGTTTTGCTTCAAAATCTCTGGTTTTAGCAAACCACACTTATAAATGCAAATGATCTTTCTGTTATGTAGTTATGTTAAAGGAAAACAGTCTTAGAGTGTAAGAAAATATGACTAAACTTGTGGAGATAAGCGGTAAGGGATTACTAACTAAACTACTAAAGGCAATATACCATTAGAAAAGGGTGAGCGGGGATGCTTTTGTGCACTGGGCTGCACTTTTTTTAAGGGTGCATTGGTTTGGAAAAATGACCTACCAGAGACAGGTTCAGATGATACCATTGATGAATGAGGTTGCTTTGAGCTTGTGGAATGCCAGCCCAATGGAGACCTGTCTTCGTTTTGTTGCCTCCCAATGTGTACATCTGAAATTTTCTTATTTCTTAAATGTGTATCTGAAATGTGTACTACTTCATCTATGTAGAAGTTCAATTGAAAAAGCAAAGTTTATAATAGCTGCAGTGGTCAGGAGGAAATCTTTAACTGTTCCTAGCAGTTCAAACGACATACTCTCATGGAACGAATTTTGATCATATCATTCATGTTTACAATCTTAGCCAAAAAAAAAGAACATACTTGCTATTTCAATTTTAAAGTTGGCATTCTTGCAACTAATATCTAAACCTGATTGAACTTTTAGAATATTAAAATCGCCCCAGCTGAGGCGTTCAAAGTTGCAAACTTTGTTTGCCTAGTGAAAAGAATTACGAGATTGAGAGTCTAAATGTTATACCCTCCCAATTGTATTCCTTCAATGAAGGAATCAGAATTTTCAGATGAGAAATCGTAACTCTGTCTCACCAGAATGAGAAGTTGACGGTGGAGTAGTCGGCGGCGGTGGAAGCATTTTCGGTGGGTGTGGTTCAGCGAATCCCGGCGGAGGGCCGTCATCTTCATCTTCCTCTTCGCCACCATCTTCAACGTCCATAATTTCTAATTTTGAGTTTATAGCTATGGAATCGAACCCGGGCGGTGGCCCATCGTCATCGTCCTCTTCTTCTACGAATATTTCTGGGTTACTTAGCATGACCTCCTCTCTCCCCATCTAAGCTTTCTTTCTTCTCTGCTTCCCGGTTTACTCTGAATTGAAAGATTGAGATTTACTCCGTACCACGTAGTAGGGAGTATTAAATGGACCAATCTCCTGCGGCAATTAATACAATTACAATACGGAGTACTAAAAAATCTTTCCAAAACTTCAATCCCGATTCATCAATATCAATAATCAATAATACGAAGTATATAATTAACTCAACTATTTGGATTTTGGATAGTACACTTTAGGAAATTACCCTAAATAAAAGAATATAAGCTTAGAAATTTATTTACTACGGAGTAAAAGACTTCCAGCATATTGTCATGAATTCGGCGCATTAGCCTCATATGATTTGAAAAATGCATCAGACCCTCCTATGTTATAATTAGTGATGTGCCAAACTCCCTCCAAGAACAAATTTAATTTCCAAAAAATGTAAAAAGATTAGTTTTTTGGTATAATTTAGAAATTTTGACAAAGTTACTTGCATATTCAATCATATTATTAAAAAAAATGATTTCAAAATTTTAAAATTTGTTCTTGAAGGGGGTTTTGCGCAAGATTAATTATAATACATGGAGGTTTGACGCATTCTTTAAATCACATGGGGCTAATGTAGGTCTGGGATTTTGGAACCGAGAACCGAAAAAATGTTTGGAACCGAACGGATATGAAACGGTTCGGGTTCGGTTCCTGTTTTTTGGAGTTAAATACTTACCTGTTCGGTTCCTAATGCAAACTACCGGTTCGGTTCTCGGTTTTACATGAAAATATATCCAAGAAACCGATATAGAACGGTTAGTTCATTCTTAGTGGGTTATTCTATTCCGTAGTCCAAATCAGAAAAAATATACGCAGTACAACTCGCAGCCCATTCGCAGCCCATTCGCAGCCCACAACTCCTTTAGTCCGCTTCAGACTTCATCGAGTGCAACAAGGATTTGCCGATTAGGAGGAAACCCCTAGCCACACCGCTCATCTTCTACTATGCTCTTCCATTCACTCTGTCAAAGATTTCACGGATTCATCAAAGGAGTCAAGGAGAGGTCATAGACAACGAACCTCCTAGCAAAACTTGGTATGTATTTAATTTATTTAAACTTTCGAACCTCCTAGCAAAACCAACGAAGCTTCTGAAGTTTTGAGAATCCGTTTGTGAAGCAAGACTGCCAGTGTGACAGAGTTTTGCAATCTCCTTTCTGGAATATGGAACATCAAAATTAAAATTGAAGCTTTTAATTTGTTTCGAAAATTGAAGTTTCTGACTTCTGTTTTGGAGGAGTTTAATCTCTTCCTCCATTTTGTTTGTAAATTGGGTTTCCACTACATTTATCATCTTTTTCACACATCCTAATCTTTCTGGTGATTTTTTTAATCCTTTCTTGTATTTAGTTTCCACTGTTCCATTTTAATTTCTGTATGCATATATACATAAACAATATGAAAAATAAGCTAATTGCATCCATTCTTTGAATAGTATTAGGACTAGATTTGATAATGACAACTAAAGCATACCAAATGTTTGAAAAATATGTCTATAACATACGTATTACCCCATTTTTCATTCTAAAAAACTGTGTTTTTTTTCAGCTATTAATATGCAACTTCGATTCGTCAAGACCAGATTGCAACATCATATGACATAAATATGATGTTAATTTTGAAGTTATGGACTGAATTAATGTACTTCTTTTCTGTAAGGATAATTGTACTTTTTTTAAGCTCCAGTTTAGTACTTTTTGAACCATTTAACTTTCATGTTTCAATCAATCCTAACTTTTAACAATCCTGAACTTGTAATTATAAATTTGGGGGTTATTTGAAATGGGGTTATAGTTAGATTGATTGCAGCTTTGTGGAGTATTTTAACTTTTTTTGTGGCGGAAATTGGTGCATTACAGTTTTTTAAGAACCGAAAAATGTCAAGAACCGAACCGTTAACACTTGGTTCGGTTCCATAATGGTTCTAGAATTTTTTGTTGGGAACCGAACCGATATAAAAAATTGTGATTTTACAGACGGTTCCTCCAATTTTGAAGAGGAACCGAACCGGTCCCAGGCCTAGGCTAATGCGCCAAATTTATATTTCACGAGGGATTTGATGCATTAAACCCGAAATTTATATTTGGATTTTGGATAGTACACTTCAAAAATACAAAGTAAAAGATTTCATATTTTTCTTTTCGAAATAGAAGTAGTTATTATCATGATTGAAATTTATTGCCATGAATAGCAGCATATTGTCAGTTAATGGCAAGCATTGTAAGAATGTTTTTACTTGAGCTGTAATTTGTTGGTCTGGCCTAGTCTGATCTGGTCTGAACTAGTCTGTTCTGATTTGGTCTGGTTTCTTTGTCCAAGTCTGGTCTGAGACAAATTACAGTCCTAACTAAAAACACCCTAACTATTATGCCAATATGACTTCAAAATGTTTAATAGTGCAATGTTAGGGCCATAATGACTTTTGGTAAGATTTTGTGCTTATTTTCCTTTTCCCCGTTTTGATAGGCCCGTTTTGTTATGCCCATTTTGTACTCCGTATCTTACTATCTTTCTTCCAAGTTCCAATTCCTTTCCAATTCCATGCATGCTTCGGCCCCTCCTTTCTTATACGGAGTACATAAATATTCACACCTAAACACACAAATAGTTCTTAGGCGAAGAACTTGGGTATTTTGACTATTTTCTCCTCCACCTTCCGCTTGACTTGGATCGGAGTTTAAAAAAGTGAGAATAAAGGGGAAAGTGGAACAATTTTTTGGGACGGAGGGAGTAGTAATTTAGAGCTTTGAATAGAATTATTCTTATTTTTATAGTAATTGTGACCAGGCTGAGTTTTGACTCTTAAAATACGGAGTATTATGTTTGCCCAGCCCAACCGCTTACGGCCCAAGAATAGGTAAAGGTCGAGTAATAATTGACTCATAAGACCATGTCTTCAGCCGAACAAAGTAGGAGCCATCGATCGACAAAGGCGAAGTGGTGACGAACACCAACTCTCAATTCGCCGACTCCATGCCGCCTGCTCCGGACTTCTCGGGTCCAATTGGTCCTTCTCGCCGTCGCGATTCACCCACCTTCCACCGCCGACCGCACTCTGCCCAGCTTCCCCTGCGTCCTTCCGCCGCACTACTCAGCCAGGTAAAACGCAGAAAGCTTTCTCAACTTTGTTCTTCCACTTCTTGCAGACTTGTCGACTTGCCGTATTTATTCTCAAAACCCCTTCTTCTTTATGCTAAAGTTGTAATTTTTCTGTCTACAAAATTGGCCAACTTAACTAAAGTGATAAACTTTATTTGCAATCAAGTTTTTAAGACAAAGAAACTGCTATTCTAAAAAAAAAAAGACAAAGAAACTGCAAAAAGAGAGCTTGACAACTTTAAGGAGGAATTGGCGGACTGTCTAATATACTAACAGTATAATGAATTAATAATATTTCGTTCGAAGACTTCTCCGGGTCTTATACTCTTCTCTAGAGCTGCGACAAACCAGAGGACTTCTCCAGCAGAGGATTTCTCCGGAACTTCACAACCAGAAGAGTATCCCTTCGACCCTTCAGCCCGTCTCCATCGAATCTTGCTGAGGTAGTCTTCGTTTAGTTTTTATTCAATCTTCGTTTATCTATGCTGAGGTAGTCTTCGTTTTTACTACTGAAGTTTTTATATGGTAATCCAAATAGCTATACCTCCTATAAGAATGATCAACGATGATATATGTTTAGTCTTTCACTTTTAATTTTGTCTTTAAGCATTCCTACAGTTTACACTCTTCGAATTTTGTGTTTGATTTGTTTTACTTTTGTGTTGTTTAATGTTCTATACTCTGTCTTTTTAGATTCTTCACAGTTGTATACTCTTCTTCACATTAAATTTTGTGGTTGATTTGTATTAATTTTGTGTTTTACAGTGTGTGTTTTAATGAGCTTAAGATAGTATATTACTAATACTTGGTAAAAAGTGCAGACAATATGTTGTAAACTGTAAATATATAAATATTTACACTTGTATACATTATGTATTATATTTTCTTTAATTTTTTTAAGCATCGCTTTTTGTGAGAAAGCTACGCTTCGCATAGGCTTTCGCTTTGAAACAAAGCCCGGGGTCATCGCTTTTGGACGCTTTTCGCTTTAAAAAAGTTTTATTCTTTATTTAGCTTCTATACTCCTTTAAATACCAATAACACAAGTAATGCTTGCTGGCACATCTTTGAATTTTGTAATTTTAAATAAAAATCAACACTTTGTGATTGAGAGGTTTAATGTATCAAACTCCCTTGTGATATACGGAGTAGAAATTTGGTGCATGAATTCATGTAATTTCGTAGTAAAATGTATAAAACCCCTTTGTGTTATTATTAATCATGTGCAAAATCTATTATGTGAACAAATTCAAGTGACAAATAACAGATAAATGATTAACATTTTTGTACAATTTAGAGATTTTGATAAATTTGCTTCCATATTCAATCATAATACGAGTATAAGAAAAATGATTTTAAAATTGTTATATTTATTCACAAAAGAAGGTTCTGCTCATGAATAATTATAACACAGAGGGGTTTGACACATTTTTTTAAATCACATAGCTTCATGCGCTGAATTCTATATCACGAGGAGATTTGATGTATTAAACTCATTAATTGAACATCAATGTAAATTGTAACGAACGACATGGCTATTTTGTTGAATATTAAACGTCTAATATTAAACCTCACGATCTCTGCTTCATATCTTCTAATTCAGTTTCTTTCTTTCTTTTTTTTCAAAAAAAATCTTAAAGTATATCTAATGAATTGCAATATGCGAATCTAATTTAATAATATCCTCATCCCACAAAACATGGCAAATTTAACTTTTCTTGATTCGTGATAATAAACTTTGGATAATGATTTTAGCTATTATATGTGTGAAGCGTATAACTTTTTATTTATATGAAAGTATTTCTAACCAAGAACATTTTCATATAATTTTCATATTTGAAATAGTTTCATATTAAAAAATATTATTGGTCAAAGTTGACCATGATTGACAAAGAAAAATCAATATTAACAAGTTTTATGGAACATGGGGTGTTATATATATTTTTGACATGTCCATTTGATATGAAAATCGTAAGTTCTTCTAATTGGGCATTAGATTTCAGTGAGCATCAAGTTTAATCTATTGAGTATTTGAACTCTGCAATTTGTTTGTATCATTCATCTAAAAATTCAAAAGTTGTTGATAATTTTATAATAAATGATTATTCTACAGATAAAATGTGCGAAATGTGTGTAAAAAATTGATATAAATGTTTAAATCAAGAATTGTTGATATAAAAATTGAAAATCACCCAAAAAAGATGCTGTAAACTATTTACTGATTATTTGTTCTCCCCGCGTGTGTTGGTTGTCCTCTCCCAGAAGGAAGAGAGGCCACTGAAGTAAGGGGAGCAACAATATGCTGAAATTTCTATCGAAGGTGAAGATCGAATTCAATGCGATCGATTCGCGCACGGCGTCATGTATGGAATTCCTAGCCCAATGCAACGCCCCAAAGTCAAAGGAGTCCAACCCCGCCTGTCAAATTCAGGTGAAGCGCCGCACCGACGACTTCCCTCCCCAGATCACCGTCACATTCGCCAATGGCGCCGAGCAGACCTATGATGCCACCACCACCCCCGCCCAAACCATCCGCAACATGATTCTCGAGAAGGGTCAGTATCTCGAGACTGAGCAGATGTTCCGTGAAGCTGGTGAGAAGTGGCCCGTTGTCATCCCAGCTGAAGAGCTCAACGAACCATTTACTGGAATTAAGGTTGGGCTCTATTCGCTTCTTATCCTTCTACAAGATCTTTTTGAAAAACTTGAAGTTTTGCTTTTTTTTGCCGGATTTGAATAGGCAAATCGTCAAACAGGTTGTGTACGAAATGAGTAATGCAAAGATTGATCATTTATTACAAACCTCCAATAGATTAGAGGCTTATTTCTATTCGGCATTCTCTTTATTTATTTATTTTTTAAAGTTATAGTCTAGATATCTATTTTCTGAAGATGATATTCCTATAGTGTTAGAACCATTCATGTCTGCTCCATGATGTACAAGCTGCAGAGGTTGCACAAGTGTAAGGGTATTATTACAGAATTTCTCTTATCTAGTGGTTGCATTTAGAAGTTTGCACAGCACATTACCTTTACCGTAAGGTTAATGGCAAAATATGTAATACAACCTGATGCAACTTCGTATCTTGAGTTTATTTTAATAAATGCTCAACTTGCAGAATTGTATCTTAGCAGGAAAATGCTTTTGGTACACAAAATGTGTACACATGTCTGTCCTTCGGAGAAAATTTGTCTGTCACAGACAACTCATAATTAATTGTCTGTGATAGACAAATTTTCTCCGAAGGACGGACATGTGTACACATTTTGTGTACCCCAAGCAAAATCCATCTTAGCAATACTCATCCCATTGTGCTCGTGTTTTATTTATTTTCTCATTTTCATTTTAAATAATGATTAGTTGAGTATAATAAAACTCATCTTATATGTGAAGAACACTCACAATGCTCTTATGGATGTACTCTGGGCATGGAACATCCAGATGTAAGATATATACTTAAAGGTTAATGTCATGATAGATTAATCCATAATTTTGTTGAGCTGTCAATGTTTGTGATACTCCGTACTACTTTTCAAAGACTTTACTGTTCATAAATTGATAAGGCACAAAAAGGTCACATCATGATGTTCTAAAACCTTGATGTTTGGGGTTGTAGAGTTATGGAAGCCTTAATTTGTATCCTTGAATTGGATTAAACTTGGGTTCCATTCTTGTAAAGTTTTATTTAACAATGATAAGGTGATGAGACTAGTTGCTAATACGACTGTTCAACTCACTAATGTCTGTTTCTTGATATGATTTCTTCAAATTTGTTGAATGTGCAAGTATTGAATGCCTTAGGTATGCATTTATGGGATTTTATGCTTCCCATAGTACCGTTCCTCTATTAACATTATGTGATATCTCATGTGCTAACTTGCTTTCTTAGATTTTAAAACGACGTGACAAGAAAACATGAGCTAACTTGGCTTGTTTTATATCTGTTTCTATGCAGCCTGTAATAATCTAAATAATAAAGTTTTCCCCTGGGCCTTTCGGTTTTACTTTTTTCATGTACCAAATGCATTTTCTGCATATATATGTCTTATAATTTTTCGTGTATTAATGTATTCATAAGTCATTAATTTGTTTTTCTACATACTTCTCTTCAGCCACGGAAAGCAGAAGAGAAAAAACAGTGACAGCCATTGGAGTTGTTCTTTGATTAGTTTTCATCCGGATAACCCCTCACAGCGGAGAAGATGATCCAGCAAAGAGGTGTGTGTGTTTTGGCATGATAAGTTAGGCAGAGTGTGTTATCCCGATCTGTTGAGGACAATGCATACATTTCAACTTTGCCTGTTTCTGGTTTTTTCATTTTCAAACTAAAACAGTTTATGCCACACTGTTAATGAAATGGTTTCTATTTAAAAATCCTCTTTGCTTTTATTTCTAACTTTCTGTTATCTTCTTATAGTCTAATTATATTTTTGTATTTTTGTGATGCTTTTAGGCTCAATAGTTTTATTCTGCAGTGCGTTATTGTACAGCACAGCTCTTTGGGCAATCAATATTAACATTTTATTTACTTTTTAAATGCCAAATGCTCTTAGATACGTCCAACTGTTCCATAATCAACCAGCTAGATTCAGATTAAAGTTTTTTTTTTTTTTTGAAATTTTAATTTACCTTAGCATGTCTTACCCTAATACCCGATGCTATGAAGAGTTGATGTAGGAGAGCGAGCATGTTAAGAAATGGGCTAAAATCGTATCGAAAGGATATGACATGTGCAAGGTTAGAGATTTTCTTAAGTTTGGATTTATCATGGAAGGTACAAAGGAAAAAGAAATATTCCGTGTGATTAATGTATTATTTATTTGTTACGTATGTTTAGATTACTAAAAAATTCGTGATAGAGATAATTGAGTAAACATAAATTATTGAATTCGAAATAATCTAAATTTTTTTCACAAGTCCTTTTCGTTCAAATTTCGTTCATATTTTCCGGTGTTTTTGTTCAAACTTCAAAGATATGAAATGTTTAAAAAAATCAAGTTAAATCTATCAAATCATTTTTACTTTGATCATCTGACCTTGAAGGTTGAAACCAAACCGAACTAAAATCAAATCGAAACACAAATGATTTCAGTTTTGTACAATATCACTCAAATCAAATTTAATATCACTCAAATCAAATAAATTGAAACCGAACAGAAGTAGATGCAAATCAAATTGGAAACCGAATTGTCCACCCCTAATTATTTTAGACTAAAAATACTCTATATGACCTTATTTAATTCATTGTGTAATTTTGGTTTTAAATTTCTGTACTTGCATAAATAAAATACTTCTTGTGCAAAATAAATATGAAACAAGATAGAAAAATATACTTCGTATTTCATATAAAAAGTGCTCTTATTTTCCTATAATAATACTACCGTATAAGTTTATGGGATAAGGTGTCATTTGTCAATTGTCATTGTTCCGTTGTTCGGCACACACTATTTGTACAAGTGTTTAACTTATTCACAAGCGTACAAAATGAGAGGGTATGTGCTACTGTGTGAGTAATTTGGGAGATGATAAAATGAACAGGTTTCCAATATAAATAACTATCGTGCATTCAGCTTCCTTGTCAATTGTCATGCAACATAATTGAGCTATAATCAAACTCACTATGCAGTTTGTAGCAGAATGCCGGGTATGGCATGAACGCAGTACAAAATACTGAAATATCATACTCCGTATTACAATTATTGCTAAATAAACTAGAAAAAAACCGCCCAGCAGATTTCCTTTTACTGTAATAACGTCTGAATACTAATCACATCACACATTCACACAACTGTACAAATAAGCCTTTCCCCTTACCTGTCCACAAAATAATATTTACAATGGCTGTTCTGAGTGAACTCAGTGAAGAGAAAATTTTCTACTTAAGATAAGCAACTGTACAACCGTAATTCATCGGGCTTTGCTGTTCAAGCTTAGCGACACGCGGATGATCTCTTAGCAACTTCAACACCAAATCCTTAATGACACCTGTCCCCATCCCGTGAATAACAAAAAGAACGGATTTGGGCCCTCTTGTGTCTATAGCCAGGCTGAGTTGGTGAGAAGCTTCCTCCACATGCATTCCTCTCAAGTCCACTGTGTTTCTCGATGTCTGCAGGATAGGGCCATAAGAATCCTCATCCTTGTAGTTGGCTGCAGTCAGGCTTCTTAGCTCCTTCAGATTATTCTTCATCCCTTGTTGACCCTATAGAAAATTATTCAGGAGTACCTTTATTCAATTTTGATATTGCTTTATCCACTACCACATATGAATCACAGATAGCTGATAAATACTCTCATCAGGTGATTATACACGTGAAGAAGCTCTGTGAAAATAAAACAAGTAGCTTTTGACTATTTGGCTGAAATTATTCGTATGAACGATTTTCCTTTCAGAAAACTATAATGAAAGCTATTTCAGCCAAAAAAACACGACCAAAAAGGCCCATAGATAAATAGATTGCATTACTGACCTGCTTTCTTGAACTCCGGACAGAACCTATTGCAGGATTGGCTACAATGGCTCTTATATTGCTTCTATCCACACGAGCTCGAATTTTTCCATATTTGACAACAACAGTTTCATCATCTTCCCCGGGCTCTTCAATAACAGTAGCCAATTTATTCCCTAAACTCTTGACACTCACTTGTTCTCCTACCCTTGGGGTATAAAACTCTTGGCCTCTTTTTCTGATAAGTTCTTCGGAAGGCTGTTGAGCTTTAACTATGGATGCAATTGCAGACTCTGATTTCTTGATGAGTGAATTGACCTGATCAATACCAATAGTCTTGAGTTGGTTCTCAAAATCTTGCAGTACAGCTTCTATCTCCATCTTCACAGCCCTTACTTCTTTTTCTGTTTTTTGTGTTTCCTTTGCCTTCAGAGCTTCTTCATGTTCCTCTAAATCTTGTGCCTCATCTCGAATCTTCACTTGACAAAAAGTATTTTGAAGAGTGAAATAAGTGTCTAGAGAATGTTAGTGACTTGTTCGGGGTGAGGTGGAAAAACGCTTTTATAGATAACTACTTATAAAACCTTTAGAAATAAAAGCATAAAAGTAATGACATCTTTAGAAATATCAATTTTATTTCAGTAAAAGCGGCAACATATTTCTTTAGAAATATGGATGAATATTATGTGTTTCAAAAGTCAACCTAAATTTAAAATAAGGATTAAAAGTTTTTTTACATTGTTCACAAAACGCCTCTCTTGATGAAGTACTCCCTCCGTCCCATATCAATGTCACTATTAAGTTTTAATAGTGATTGAAAAGGTAAAAGATGTGATTGAGATTTAAGTAGAAAATGGTGAAATTATATGAGCCACATACTATTGCCAAGAGAGAAAACACGACAATTATTTCGAGATGGAGGTAGAAGCATTCTTCCCTAAAGTGATGCACGGCACTATGTTAGTTGTACCTCATGGAAAAGATGCACAGCATTTGAATAAAGAAAAGCAGCTTTCTTTGCTTGGGTTTCTAATCTCTCTCTTTCTTCCACTAGTGACTGGTAAAGAAATCCTTTCTGCTCCTGCATCTTGTCTTGCGTGAATTTGTTTACCCATGATTGTGCCCGACTAACTATCCTTTCATCAAACCCAATTGACTTAGCAATGGTCAAGGCATTTGACTCGCCAATATTTCCCCAAAGAATCCTAAACGTAGGTTGCAGAGAATCCAAACAAAAATCCATTGCTGCATTACAATATTGGTCGTCCTTCTCTTTCAAACATGTTAAATCACTGTAGTGGGTGGTTACAACTGCTAAATTAACTCTTTCTTTGAGATAATGCAGTATGCTTGTTGCAAGAGCTACACCTTCCGAAGGATCAGTACCACTGCCGATTTCATCGATGAGAATGAGAGAACTTTCAGAAGCAGCTTCCAAGATCTTGCGAATCCGAGAGATATGCCCGCTAAAAGTTGAGAAACTTTGTTCAACAGACTTTAAAAGGAAGAAAAAAGAGTCACGTCAGCAAGATACAAATTATTTACTACGCAGTAAATAACTATGATAAGTTTATGCAGCACGGATACTGTGATAGAACAATCTCAATAGATATAGGTTCAAGCATACACGTATTTGAAAATATTAAGATCTTAGTATCTTACGAGGACTTTCTTACACATAGTTTTTCTGCAGATGGGATGGAAAAACATAAATGTTTATTTTATTTATAATTGAATTCTTTTTTTACAAAATGTTACCGAAATTTTACAAAAAAAAATAATAATGATTAAATTTATTAAGTACTGCTCGGTCTATTCTTGAAGTTTTGTTTAGGGTATAACTTTAACTTCAGAAACCTCATGAATAACGGGTCATGTTTTAACACTTTCTCACTTGATATGAATTTTGTCTAGGATACGCGTACTCGGACTCTCAAGAATTTGCAAATATGTAACAAATCTCCTAAGATATTCAGATACACTGTAGAATATACAATAGACGTTTCCACATGAGAATGTTTTGAAGAACAGTTTTGCATAGGCTGATAGAGAACATCGTTGAACTTTTTTTACAATGTTACAATGATACATATTGATAACAATCATGCTAAGATAACACAAGAAACAGAAGAGCAAAGCAGAAACAGTTTGTCACAAGAATAAAATAAATAATAACAGCATAAAGAGAATGTGAACGAAGAAAACACCTGAGTATCACCTATATCCGCCAGAACTAGATCAAACCAGGGAAGCCTGGGATTATTATGAGCCGCTAAGTACATGCCAGCCTTGAGCATAACAGAAGCCAGACCCAGGGTTTTCATCGTAGCGGTTTTGCCTCCTGTATTAGGGCCTGATATCACAACCACTCTTTTTCCGTATTCAATTTTGATATCAATTGGTACAGGAAACACATGACCAGGCTTTAATGGATCCTTCCTCAGATCTAAATAAGGTGAAGTTTGGGATTTAGATCTTACAAGATCAGGCAATCTTCTCAAGGAGCGCTCAAGGAGCAGAGGGTGATATATGCCTTCAATATCCACAGCTAAATTATTGCATCCTTTTGAACTAAGAGCTGGACAGACCCCATCTATCCAATGAGCATGAGAAGCTCTGGCAAACGCAAAATCTATTTCTAATATCCGGTCTAGCAGAACTTTTATCTTCATTTTCGATAGAGCGATTTCAGATGTAAGCAAACTCAGCACCACTTGTTCCTCTTTCCTCTCAGAACTTGAAAGCTCCACTTCCATGTTATTTAGTTCAACTGCAGCTTCAGGTTCCATAAAGTATGTTGATCCGGTGCTACTAACATTTAAGATCACACCATTTGGGAGCAAAGATCTGTGGGTTGCTCTAACACCAACACACATCCTTGATCGACGTTGGGTTACTACCGGTCTGTCAATTCCACCAGCCTGAAAAATCCTAGATGACACCTCCTTCAACATTGA